GCCAGGAGCATCCAGGGCAGAGGGAACAGGGGCCCCTGGAGGCTGCCATCAAGGGCATGAGACAGGCACTGGCCTTGAGTCTGCATCACATCCTGCAGCAGGCTTGGAGACTGGCCAGACAGCTGGAGGCAGCACGTGGCATCGAAGCCAGTGGTGGCAGGATGGGTACGTACTGACCTGGGACAAGAACTCTCAAGGCCTGAAATCCTAAACCCGGAAGGAGCTGGCACTTCAGTGCACCTCAGCTTGAATGTTCAGGGACAGGACTATAATTCCATTGACCATGGCTATGTGTGACCAATGGACTAGAGAAGGGACTCCATGGTTCTATGCCCCATCCCTCTGGAGTACTTAGCTGCATCGCTATCTTCCAATCTCTTGCCAATGTCATTTGGTCTTACACTTTGTATAAAGTGAACATTCCCTTATTATTTCCTAGGATTACCAAATACCACAGCAGGCATTATGACAAACATTTTATAGTGGGGACCCAAAGTTAAGAGAATTAAGTGACTTGCCCAGTCACGGTCCTCCAGTTTGTCAGCGGCAGAGCTAATTCTAAAGCCATCTAGAATCTCTCAAGTCCTTAACTTCCCACTCATAAACTCAGGAAAGGAGTCCAGCCAATTTCTCCAACTCCCCCCCCACAATTCTTATACAAGGAAAAGCAGGAAAAGGAAGTAGGAGTGGCCTCTTCCTGAAGTTTATCTCACTTTTCTAGAAGCTTTCTTCTGCCCATAGTGTGGCCAAAAAAATATTAGAGTTTTAGGTCAGAATTGAGTTGAGTTTTAAGACATGCCCTACTATTAACTTTGGCCCTGGGTAAGTTAATAACCTCTGCCGCTATATTACCATCTTTAAAATGAGGATAAAATGTTCAGCTTGATAGATACAGGTGAAGGACTAAATAAGATATCATTTACATGGAGTCCTTAGCTCAAATTCTGACACATAGAAGGTGCTCAAGAATAGGAGTTGCCTTCTCATTCCACTTCTCAGTGTGGCCTGGAAATTGTTCTCAGCTTCCTGAAAGGGCTGATGGACTCAGTTCTCACTTGCTCCTTCCAAAGCTGGACATCAGGGAGTCATCTTTTCTTCCCTTTAGAATTTAAAATGCCAGGTTGTACCCAAAGGAAACAAATGTGATCTTTACAGAGTAGCCTGTCTGGAATGAGATGCTTTTTTTTTTTTTGGTACCAAGGATCAAACTCAGGACCTTTCAATTGTGAGGCAGGTGTGGCACCACTGAGCTAAATCTCCAGCCCTAGCAATAAGATACTTTGAGCCTGGAAAGACTTCAGGTGGTTTGGCTTAGTCTTCAATTCCTCCTCCCCTCCTCTGCTAGGAATGATGTGCTATCCTGGGACAGAGCTGTGGATCCCAGCCCTGTATGGGATGGAGATCCCAGACTCTGAGGGCTCAGGACTCATGGTGCCCCTCCTGGGTATGCAGCAAGATGGCAATTCTGGTAATGCCACACCGCTGGCAGGCTCAATGGAAGATGCTGATGGTAAAGGTAGGAGGAAACTCAGAACCTCTGAAAGTTTGAGGGGGGTTAGGAATGTGATTTTGTTCTGAGAAACAAAACCCTGTAAAGCTCAGGAGGGGTACTGCTGTTCCAGTCAGTCATTAGCCAAGGCATAGGGTCATTCCAAGCCACCTTCTAGGGCTGCTGAGAGGCAAAATAAAGATGCCCAGAGATCCCCCAAATGCTAGGGCCACAGAACATTCATTCTCCCTGAGAAAATTGGGTCCTTTCAAACACCAGCATTTCAGAAACTCATTACCCACCCCAGCCCCAGGGTCTGTGGCATCAGGAAGCCCTCTACTCCATCTCTGATCCCCACAAAGGGTAGAAGAAGGTCTAGGGTCTCCTTTGGCTCCCTTCCTGCCATGTTTCCTTCTTGCCATAACCACCTCTTCCTTTCTTACCCCACTCTAGTTATAAAAGCTTGGTATCTCACAGGTCTTGTCCCAATTTCCATTGGGGCTCAAGCCGTAGACCCCTTGACTGGAGAGCCTGGTCCTGTCATTGGTGCTCAAGAGGATCCTTTTGGCAGTGTGGTGGTGCCTGTTGTACAGGTGCTAGAGGCCTTGCCTTGAGGAGTGAGAAACCCTGATCTGGTAGGTAGGAAGAATTTATTCTATTTATTTATTCATTCAGCAACCACATATTGAGAGCCTTCTAGGATTCAGATAATGTGTTAGGAGTTGAGATACTAAGACAACTAGACAGGGCTCCTATGCCCAGGGAACTAGTTAGCCATAGGCTCCAACATGACTGTAATTTAGGAGGTGTTAAGGGAATGCAGATGATGGGCATCTCAAACACATGAAGGAGGGTTCAGGGAAGGCTCCCCAAAGAGATAATCCTTAGGCTAAAATTTGAAGACAGAGGCAGAGAAAGCCACACCAGCCTCGGAACAGCAAGTGCAAAGGTACTAGGTATGAGACCACATATGTTCCAGAAAAATGAGGAAGATGGAGGGACAGAGTCAGCAGAGAGGCCAGTGAGGGAGGCAAGAAGCAAATTCTGAACAACAACCTGTGTGCTCAGAGGCCAAAAAATGTGACTTTGATCATGAAAGCGACTGAAGAATTCTAAGTAGACATATGATCAGATATTAATGTTGTAAGATTTAAATTTGGGGAATATGGAACAATACAAAAATTACTCATAAGCCCACTACATTTTTAAAGTATGTAAATGAATAAGCAAAAGCCCCCCTTCCTTCCTATTACCCCTCCATTGATCTCATAGTATTTCCCCAATCAAGACACTGCTGGCCTCTCTGCCAGTATTCTCCACCAGACTCAGCCACTATTAACAGGTTGGCATGTCTCCTTCCAGACATTTTTGTGTTTATGTACAATCAGCATTCTAGAAATTCCCTCTGGCAGAAGATAGATGCAAGCAAGCCAGACAAGAGCAGGAAGCCCCATCAGGATGGGGCTTCCACCTTTGGCAGATCTCCATCAAAATAAAAATGATTTTGGGTCTTACCATACATTCTAAGTTACAGTTTCAGAAACCAAGATGAATATGGAATAAGAGATTCTTGTTAGAAGGAAAGAAATTTAAATTCAAGTCCTGACACTATTATCTCAAAAATCAGTATGAAAGAATTAAATGAAAGGTTGAGAACTATTCCCCACCATCACATGCCCAACTACCCTGCTCTCCCAAGAGAAAGTTAGGGGAAGGAGGCACAGAGGATGCCAGAGAGGTCAGGTATTAGAAAGAAGGAAGGACAAGGGAGCTTGAAGGAGGTGTGTGATTATTAATGTGCCTGTCAGCAACCAAGTCACTTGCTTCTCCAAGCTTGGTCATGGATACCCAGGAATATTTGAGAAGCTTTGGGGCCCTACAGCCAGATCATGTGGGGCTGTGATCATGTGTATAGGCTTAGAAAAGCCTAAATAAGCTGGACATTGTAGTGGGACCTCCTGGAGCGGGAGCTGAGAGCATGACAGCAGTACTGGCACCACCAGGAACAGGAGGAGGAACGCCTAGTGGAACACCTAGAGTACCTGAGCCAGGAACTCCACGGTTCACGCAACAACATCAGGCTGCAGGTGAGGTCACAGGAGCTACCTAATGGTCCCCACCTATCTTCCAAGACTGCCACAGGTTTCTCTCTGAATGTTTGGAGTCCTTGCATATCCTCCAGCCACAAGAATAAAATCCATGTCAGGGCAGACACAGTCCGAAGATTCCCTAGGCCTAGGCCCTAGATATTGGGCAACTCTATGAGCTTTAGCAGGACAGAGGGGAAGTAGGAGGGACTAACATCAGGTGGTCTAGCCCAGGGTTTCTGGTTTCCCTTCATGGATCATTGCTTTACACATTCTGTCCTATGTAGCTGAAAGCTTCCAAGGAGGCCTGTGCAGCCCTGGAGGGCTGCTGCCTGCAAGAGACAGAGCGGAGAACCAGAGCTATGAGCATGCTCAGCAGCCCAGAGCAGGGCCTGCTCTTTCAAGGTGGGAAAGCACCTCCTAGATCCAGATCCCCACAGCAGGACACTTCTAGGAATGATGCCAACACCCACAGCTGCCTATAAGTTGAGGGTGGGGGAGGAACCCTCTCACTCTCAAATATGCTCATCTCCCCAAAACTCCTGGCCAAGCCTAAGGTCATACCTGGCAGGTCCCATGTCTCCAATTCACTTCTGTCTTTTCTTTTCCCTACCCTAAAATGGTAGCCATTACTATGTGCACTTTTTCTCTGTACTTTGCAGCAGACAGACAAGAGTGGGAAGAGGAGGCTCAGGTGGCACTGGGCATGAAGAAGGTCCTGCAGAAGGTCCTGCAGAGTTTAGAGCAAGCAGCAGCAAAGCTCAGTCAAGCATCGGTCAGGCTGCAGGGCCAGGAGGAAGAGATATGGCTGCAACAGGGTAGGAATCAGAACCCACAAGTCGGGAACCATCCCAGGAAGGTAAGCTTGATGCTGACAAGGGGACTCTATGGGATAAGCACATCCGCCTCTGTCATTACATGGTTCTTCAGAGCCATGTAATATCCAGGGTGTGTGGGCCCAAAGAAGAGTAGATGGGCTAATAGGGAAGGAGGAGGAACAATAAAGACAGTCCATTTTAACTTGGACATTATGTTTCCTGCATTCTAGGTAGTCCAGCATCTTTCTGATGCATTCCAGAAGATGGTGAGGGAGAGACAGAACGTCTTAGACAGGGCCCGTGGTCAGCTGCAGTACCAACGGGAGCTGAGCCTCCTCCAGCTCTTGCACACACAGGTACTGACCTCTGGACTTGGTCAACAAGATCTATATTTCTGTTTCTGATGAGGGCTTCGAGAGAAATTCTGAAAGCAGCCTTATGGGCCTATGGAAACCAAGCATAGAATTCAGTTCTGATTATTTCATTCTAGATTATTGCCTCAGGAACCCCTGTATGTCTGGAGAATTATCCTGCAGACAGATTCTATGGAGCAGTCACTATTTCTTTCAGGAACCAGGCAACTGCCTGCCCACTGTTAATCGCATTCCTGAAAATCCTCACTGCAGTGGTAGAGGGAGATCAAGAACACAGTCTAGGGCTGGAGGATCAAAAGCCAAGAGCAGGTGAGACTGGTTATTCATCTAACATTCAATTCTGCTGCCAATCCTTGTTTATATTTTTATAAATCCTTATTTATGCTAATTCCTAATACAATTAGAGCTTCAGGCACCACAGAAGCAGGCCACAGTAGGTTCTTTAGGAAGGACATAGAGAAACCCAATGTATTAGTAATCTATTGCTGCATAACAAATCATTCCAAATTTTCACGGCTTAAAATAACTCACAGTTTCTGTTGCTTAAGAATCTGGGTATTCAGAATAGCCAAAGCAATTCTAGGTAACAGAGACATGGCAGGGGGTATCACAATCCCCAACCTGAAACTATACTACAAAGCTACTGTCATAAAAACAGCATGGTACTGGCAAAGAAACAGACTGGAGGACCAGTGGAACAGATTAGAAGATGCAGAAACAATGCCAGACACACTCAGCCATCTCATCTTTGATAAGGGAGCCAAACACCCTCACTGGAGGAAAGATAGCCTCTTTAATAAATGGTGCTGGAAAAACTGGGCTTCAACTTGCCAAAGATTAAAACTAGACCTATATCTCTCACCATGCACTAAACTAAAATCAAAATGGATTAAAGATCTAAATATTAAAATAGAAACTCTGAACCAGTTGGAACAGAGGTTAGGTAGAACTCTTGAAGACATTGGTGTAGGAAAAGATTTTATGAACAAAACCTCAGTTGCCCATGAACTAGCACAAACAATCAACAAGTGGGATCTCTTCTTATTAAAAAGCTTCTGCACAGCAAGAGAAACCACCAGCAGTGTGAAGAGACAACCCACAATGTGGGAAAAAATCTTCACCTGCTCTTCCTCAGACAAAGGTCTACTATCTCGAATCTATAAAGAACTTAAAAAGATCAGACCTCCCAAATTTAAAGACCCAATCCAAAAATGGGCATCTGAAATGAACAGACATTTCTCACACAAAGAAGTAGAAATAGCAAATAAATACATGAAAAAATACTCAATTTAACTGGTCATTCGAGAGATGCAAATGAAAACAAGGCTGAGATTCCACTTCACTCCAGAAAGAATGGCTGCTATCATGAAATCAACCAATAACAAATGCTGGCAGGGCTGTGGGGAAAGAGGAACCCTGCTCCACTGCTGGTGGGAGTGTAGACTGGTGCAAGCACTGTGGAAATCAGTATGGAGATACCTCAAAGAACTAGGACTGGAAGTCCCATTTGACCCCGCTATTCCACTGCTGGGGATCTTCCCCAAAGAATCAAAAGAATCATACCACAGTGATATCTGTGCACCCATGTTCATAGCAGTGCAGTTTGTAATAGCTAAAACTTGGAAACAGCCCAAATGCCCATCAACTGGAGACTGGATAAAGAAAATGTGGTTTTTTTATAAAATGGAGTACTACTCAGCCATAAAAAATGAGAAATTAGAGACATTTATAGCTAAGTGGATGCACGTTGAGGCGATACTCTTAAGTGAAATAAATAGGACACACATGTGTAAATACTGAATAGTTTCTCTGGTGTGAGAAACTGAAAGTGTAAATAAGGACTAAATGTAGAATAGGTCATGTGAAATAGGAAGAAAAGGGGCAAAGGGGAAGGAAGTGGGAGGGCTAGGGGAAAGGATAGAAGGGAATGGGATTAATATGAGAAAATGGAAAAATAGGAACAAAATCTTTGTAAATAGGGAGGACTGGAGGGGTTGAAGGGAGGGCTGGGCAAGGGTGAAAAATAAGAACCAAGAGAGACTATGTAAAGGTGCAAATTTCCAATGATGAATGTCATTATATTGTATACCTAAAATGTACCAATGATTAGAATGAATAATCGATAATGTAAAATAGGAAGAAAAGGTCCAAAGGGGTAGGGGTAGTGGGAGGGGCAGGGGAAAGGAAAGAAGGGAAAGGAAAAATGATGAGAAATGGAAAAAATGGAAATAAAGTCTTTGTAAACAGGGAAGGGTGGAGGGCGTGAAGGGAGGGCTAGGAATGGGGAAAAAATAAGAACCAAGATGCATTATGTAAAGGTACAATTCCCAGTGAGAAATGTAATTGTGTTGTATACCTACAATGTACCAATAAAAGAATTTAATACAAAAAAAAAAACGAATCTGGGTATAGGGCTGGGGATTTAGCTTAGTGGTGCCACGCCTGTCTTGCAAGCGCAAGGTCCTGAGTTCGATCTCTGGTACCAAAAAAGAAGAATCTGAGTGCAGATTGCCTGGATATCTCTGGCCCAAAGTACCACACAGGCTGGAATCAAAGTATTATCCAGGGCTGTAGTCATCTCAAGACTTGTTTGGGGAAGGATTTACTTCAAGATCACTCTTGTGGCTGTTGGCAGTCCTCAAGTCCTAAACTGGCTAAATGGCCAAAGACATCAACACCTTGCCACATGGACTTCATAAGACAGCTCATAGCACAGCAGTTGGGTTCCCTCAGAGCAAGTGAATAAGTAAGAATATGCAACATGGAAGTCACAGTCTTCTTGTGTCAATCTCAGAAGTGATACCTCATCACTTTTCTATATTCTGTTCACTTGAAATGAATCAATAATTCCAACCTTCAGTCAAACCAGGGAGATTATGCAAGAGTATTAGACACAGATCATGGAGGATCATCAAGGCCATCTTAGAAGCTGCCTGTCACACCTGGTGCCACATCTGAATCTTTTTGGCTTTTGCCATATTTCTACACCTTCACTGCACTATCATATTCCTCTGTTTGGTGCAGATAAAGTTGACACCATCTGGGCCTCACCATTCTCCATCCTGAAGAAAACAGACATCTGGTCCCAAGCCCACAAAGAAGGAGCTGAACTGCAAGGACAAGAGCATCATGAACCAGGTAACCCCCTCTTCCCTGATAGCCCATTAGAATTATCATGGGGCACTGAAGGCATGTGCTAATATAACCCTCAAGAACTAGGAATACCAGAATCCTGCCTTACCAATAATTGACTTCTCCATATTGCCATCATAAGATTCCCAATAGATTTTCCCATACAAAGAATAACAAATAGGAATTAAAGCACCACTATAATTATAACTTGGCCAATTTCCAAGTGGGAATTCCTAAAGTTCCTCTATCTTTCAATTGCTGAATCTTACTTGGAATTTTATCCCATACCAATCAGCCACTTCTATTAAAAGAAGTTAATGGAAAAGTGTATGACACAGGGAGAAAAAAACAAGGGAGAGAAAAGAAGAAAAGACCTTTCCCCCAAAGAGACTCCAGATTACTTCATCATGACTACCCCTTAGAATTGGAAGTCAAAACAGAAAGTAGTTGGTCTGCTCTGAAGTGTCAGGCCTGTTTCAACTCACCCATCTCTCAGGCAGAAGAGAAGTAACAGAAGACTAAGTGTGTGTCTTTCCAAAGACCATGATGCTAGCACAGTTCCATGAATAATTGCAAACTTGAGCAGAGATCAGCAAACTATGGCCCACAGGCTAACTCCAGCCTGCTACCTCTTTTTGTATGGTGCATGAGCTAAGAATGATTTTACTTTTTAAATGATTGGGAGAGGTATCAGAAGAAGAATTTAGGACCAGGGATTTAGCTCAGTGGTTCCACCACCTGCCCCGCAAGCGCAAGGTCTTGAGTTCAATCCCTAGTACCAAAAAAAAAAGAAGAAAAAGAAGAATTTATGGGGTACTTTACAATATGTCATGTACTATGCTAAATCTTTAGATACAGTAATTCATTTCATCTTTACAACAATCTGATGAAGTTGGTACTATTATTTATTTTACAGATGAGGAAACTGAAGCTTCTGAATAGGTCAAGTAAGTAGTCAAAGACCACATCGCTAATGTGTAGGTTAGCTGGAATTCAATCTCAGGGAGACTTTTCCCAGTACCTGTGCTCTTAAACCTACTTCTCCACATAAAAAGCTATCAAATAATGTAAGGACAGTGCTAGAAGAGAGATGCGGGTAGTATATTCTGGTGAGTCCCCAGGAGGGCAGATCACCATATTGGAGAAGTGAGAAAAAGCTTCCTGGAGAATGATTGCCTACTTCTACCATGACAATAGGGAGCACTCAATTTAAACTCCAATTTTGGCTCTTAGATGGCAAAACCACCTGTCTCTTTATAGAAAAAGTTTACTGACTCTGGAACTTGACCAATCTTAGGATTAATTCCTCCTCCCTCTGATGGGAACTGAAAAGAGAATGGGCAGAGATGGGTTCACCTTTAAGGATTCCCACTTCTACCTCAGCCTTCTTACAATTATATTGGCTTTATAATTCTAAAAGCAATTTCATGTACATTGTCTTATTTATACTTAGTAAACATAGCTCTAATTTTATAAGATAGTGAAATTATACACAGATGAACCAGTGCTCAAAGAAGTGAAGTGACTTTCTCAGAGTCTTCTGTCTGTTAGTTCTTATTACCCAAGCCATTTTTCATTGTCCTCCCAAGAATAAAAAGACAGTAGAAATGTTTAAATATCTATTTAGAACTCTCTAAAAGTCCATTAAAGACATGTTTGTAGGCAAATAAGATTTTTTTAAACAGCCAAAATTTACTTAATGATTACTATGCACCAGACACTGTTCTGAGTGCAATACTTCTAATCTGCTGCCATCTTCTTTGGGCCTTCCTTCTGGCTTCTCTGTTCCTATTGAGTAGACTCAATCACCTGTCCATGAAGATAGGCACAAAAGTCTAAGGCACAGTACATATATAGCATGGGAAGATATGTGGATAGATGATGGATAGGTAATTGAAAATAAACCTTCTCCTTAGCTGAATTATGCTGTAATAGTGGTAGCAGTAGTAGTAGTAACAGCTGTAGTTGTTGTTGTTGTTGTTGTTGTTGTTGGCATATCATTACCATACTGAAAAAATCAGTGAAGGGGCCAGGGATTTAGCTCAGTGGTTCCGCTGTCTGCCTCGCAAGTGCAAGGGCCCGAGTTCGATCCCCGGTATCAAAAAGAAAGAAAGAAAAATCAGTGAAATTAAATTGTTACTGGCTTCTCTTGATTTCTCCAGACTCAAAAAGCTTTTTGCAGGATCTCCTAAAACCTCAGACAATGGAGAAGAAAACGCTAATAACTGTGCAAACCACAAACCTTTCTGCTAGGGAGTTTGTGGTTTATCGACAGGGCCTGTCTGTCCTGCATCTCCTCATCCCCCAGCTTCATGTAAGTCTGGTTTCTGGTCTCTATGGAGCAATCACCAGGGGAGCTGAGGAGGGCAAAGTGGCCAGGAGGAAGCCCTGAGGGAGTGGATCTTTCCGAGGATAAAGCACTTGGGGCAGTGATCTTTCTATTCACTAAAATGAATTAAGTACTTTCTAGATGCCAGAAAATGTAAATTGACTTAGAAAGGTAGTAAATTAATTATCACGGCTAACATAAATATTAAATATGTAAATACCCTTTCCATTTTTCTATAGTGCATATTGAATCTATTTAGCCTGTTACGATTTAAATTGATGTTTCAATGCATTTAATTCCCATTAATTTGCTTGATGGTATGTAGCTGAGGCACATGAGAGTTACTTAAGAAGGAAATTGGTTTGTTTTTGCTTTGCTTGTCATTCTTTTCAGGCTCCAGAAATCACTCTGCAGATTGTTTCTCATCTTCCTGCCATGGAAGCCTCCGGCAATGCCTTCCAAGGTTCCTTCTTCTATCAGGTGCTGTAAATACATTCTCAGATGTGGGTTTTTAAACTCTAGAGTCTAGTAAAGATAAGGAGAAGCAAAAAGAACATTTCTCTCTCTCAAATCCTGATGCATTTTATTCTTCCTTAGAAATAAGTCAATTTAAAAAAAAAGAAATAAGTCAATTAACTAAAGCATAATAAATGACACTGAGTAAGAGCTTTCTCTAATCAGTAAAATGAGTATGCACTGGCTCACACTCAGAGAAGCATAATGGCTTTGTGCCCATTAATGGATCTTTGCCACCAAACCCTGTGGTTCCAAACTGGTATTTCCCATAAGACTCATGGTTTTAGCTTCAGGAAATCTTGCACAATCAGCATCTTCCTATTTAAGAAAAGGATCTAAATTATTTCTGTCTTATTAGTTCCTCAACTATGTTAACTGGAAGGGCCTTCTGGTAATTCTAAGCTGGCATATATAGAATTTAAACACTGATGACATTCTATTGGCAAATGATTCTGAAGAGGAAATACAAGTCAGTGTCAGAGGACGAGAAAATGGCTTATATTCACTTCACTAGCAGATTGTTAGGGAATTGAATAAGACCAAAAAATACTTACACATAGTACTCCCCAGACATTCTTTCAACTTGAACCTCAAAGCAACTCTATGAATAGGCAAGAATTTAATCTCATTTTACTGATAGGGAGACCAACCCATGATTCACTGAGTGATGTGTGCCAGACACTTAGCTAGATGCCTTACGTGTATTATCTTATTTACAGCTTCCAGCAACACTGTGGTAGGTATTCTTGTTATCTCCATTTTATGGGTTGGAGAATTGAGGTCCAGAGAAGCTAAGTAACTTGCCCAAAAACACAGCATTAGGAAGAGTTGAGACTCAGGTCCAAGTGTATTTGACAGAAAAGTTATTCTCCTTACCCCTACCACATTCAAGGGACAGATCTCAGGTTTTCCAGTCTTCTCAGGCTTTCCAGTGCCAACCTGCTGCCTCCTTAAGAGAATTAACAAGGAAGTTATTTCAAACCAATTGTATAGGTGTGAGATTTGAGAACCTGACTTCAATAAAAGCCTGAGAGTCCTGTAAGATAGTGATTCTCAAACTGTCCTCCCTGAGCCTTCTGCATCAACCACCTGGAGACATGGGTAAAAAGGAAATTCCTGGGCCCCACCCAAAGCACACAGAACCAGAAATTCTAGGACAGACTCCAGCAATAAAAACACCCCCTTTAAAGCTTTAAAGTTTTAAAACCATTGCTTAAGGAAACAGTGATTAAAGGGCAGTACAAGAGACAGACACAGAAGTAACCTCTGAATTTCAAAGTTTGTTTTCTAAGATGGAGGTAGCAGGAAAACTTCAGGGACAGGAACAAAATGACTTATTCAAGAGAGTTGAACTAGAACAATAATTTCTCCTGACCTCTGAATCTTCCTTTCAGTAAATTTCCATTAGGCCCAGGTAGTTTTATTTTAGACTACATAAACCTAGAAAAAGGAAAATGTAAGACCGAGGGCCTTACCAAACACTCTGAGGAGCTGACTATAGTGAAGCACACCCAGGAATCCCAGTGGTGCCTTCAGAATGTAAGACCGAGAGCCTTACAAAATGCTCCAAGGAGCTGACTACAGTGAAGACCACCCGGGAAGGAACACACCGGCCAAGTTGGGAAACAGACCTTTATTAGTCTGGCCAGAGGGCACTCCCGAAGCAAAATAGCTTAGAGAGGCAACTGGCTCAGAATCCGAGGCTGTTTTTATAGGGGGTTGAGGGGGAAGTTAACATATCAAAGAAAAGGGGGCAAAGGTCAATGGTCGACTGTCACATATTGATGGTTAGCAGACATCTGCAGCTTGTTCTAACAATTGTGGTGCCTGGAATATCAGTTCCGGATAAACAAAGAGTTGAGTAGTTTACTCTGGGACCCTAGGTCGGTTACAGATCCCTATCTAGCATCTCTAGACTAACAAGCATCTCCATCTATTAATTCACATTTTAATCACAATGGGGCTGGAGAAAAAGGGGCAAAGGTTATGCAGTCCCACAGAAAAGGCAGTGGAAATGTTCCCTGAGGCTGACATTTATTTGTTTGGGTATCTTCTCCACTCAGAGTCCTGAAAATACATTGTATGTTGGTAGAGAGTGTTTGGAATCTGTGGGAAGCTTTGTTCGGCTGTTGATCCACTGCCTGGCCCACATTGCTGCTGGAGATCTCCACCAGGACTCCAACCCCACCTTTCTGAGATCATTTTATGAGGTATTTATAATACACACACAGGGTTTTTGGGGGGTTTTTTTCTTCTCTTTCTCTGTGACTCAGACTCTATTCCTCAGAATAATAAATGCTTTAGGCTTGGCAACATTTCAAATCTGAGTCCCAGTGGCAGCTACTTGATTCCTACTGCCAGGCAAGGAAGAGGGTTTCCCTAATCAAATTTTCTATAGCAGCATACAGCAAAATACATGCACTATTCTATCATGGAGCATACCTATGGTTAAAAGGATGTGCCACTTGACAGTGGTCCTCCTGTAAGAACAGCGTCTCAGATTCCTGTTGATATTTACTTGTCACTTCATAAACCTCACCAGAACTGCTAAGGAGAGGACAAGTGAAGATGATAAAGCTCAAGCCCCATTTTCCTTTCAACTATTATTTTAAAGCTTTAATAGCAATTGCTAAAAGTCTTACTAATCTATCCCTTCTTTTCCTTGACCAGGGGCTGAAGGCCTATTTCAGAGAAGCATTCTCTACCACATTGCAAATGTCAGCAGTTGCCTGGGATAGTAAGCTTGACCAAAGCATAAGTGCTATTCTCCTGGAAGAGCAGCCCATTTCTGAAAGAGAGAAAGATATTCTCTCTAAACTCATTGAAAGGAAGCATGGGTGTCATTTAGAGCCAAGGTCATCAGAAGAGGTAATAAACTTTATCTTGTATATCACTTATTCTTGGTTAAAATTGATTTGTTCACAAAGACGATGCTTCAGTGCATGACCTATTCCGATATTTCTAGCCTCCCTAGGTGGCACATTGCCTTGACACTTAGCCTGCTTCTCAAACTACATATGACAATGTTTGTAAAATCTTGTGTTCTACAGGGTAGATAGTGGTTGCATGAATCCTTGAGTTATAGGGATTGCAAATGCAGGTCCATATTTAATTTTATGTCTTATTAACACATTGTAAATAAGTAAGCGGAATTCCATCTGTAAAACTCATTGTGACCCAGAAACTAAATTTAGATCTCCAAGTGATAGCATATTTACCCAAACTTGCTATTCTATGTAATATGCTATTTTCTATGCAACCTTGACAATGGTATTCTTTTTTCTTCTTCTTCTTCTTTTTTTTTTTTGTACCAGGGATTGAACTTGGGTCCTTGCACTTGCGCAGGCAGCAAAACTACTGAGCTAAATCCCTGGCTTGGCAGTGGTATTCTTTTTGGGGTTTTTTGGTTTTTGGTTTTGGTACTGGGGATCTAACTCGGGTCCTTGTGCTTGCAGGGCAGGTGGCAGAACCACTGAGCTAAATCCCCGGCCCCTGTGGCAATGGTATTCTTAATAGTGTTATTTAAAGCACTTTTATAAAAATATTATCATCTAAACCTTTTAACTATTAAAAATAAAAGATCTTTGAGATGTAAGATAGTTGAATAGAGGCACCCAGCATTCACTTCCTCCTCCATGAAGAAACCAAATTAACAAGTGTAGAGCTGCATTTTGTGCTGAGTGACTGTGGAAGAACACTGGAAATCAAGAAAGGGACTAGAACTTTGTGAGATTCAGAGGACTTGGATGGCATCATAGAAAGAGCTTCCAAATAACCTGGCATCTGCCATCCTGGTTCCACAGCCAGGAAGGGGGTATATCCCCCTTTGCAGGGGTTAAAGGAAGGAAGAGAGAATCCTAGCAAATTCTATCAGTGTGGATCCTGGTAATCTTAGCTACTGGAACATGCCACAACCTTCACAGGCTGGCAGCCTACTTAGATAAGGAAGTTCAAACCAGCACAGCAGCCTTGCTATGGAAGAGGATTTTATATCATCTCCTAGTAAACACCCAGAGTGCTAAAACTAGGAGCTATCTTGAGAAATGAGCTATTGTCTGAGTTTGAACTGCTCTAGGAGTCCCAAACCTTTGGATATTCCCGCCTCTGGGACTGTACAGACTTTCCACTGCACTGGTATAGGAATAGCTGCCTCATAAATTCAACTTGGTCCAATAGAACGACTGACCTCACCCCACTGGATGCCCTGCAGGGGACAGGTATTACAACACAGAGGGGATTGGAGGTGCTAGCCTCAAGAATTAAAACATGGCAACCTCATAGGCCAAAAGCATGGCCAGCTGCATATGAACTTGTGCTAGTGCTAGGACTGAAGAGAGGGTACCATGCAGTTCCCCACACACACCCTCTACCCTGTGCACTATGCAGTTACCTGTTACTGACAGATCAGGGAGGGAACTCTGTGGTTCTCACTGCTAACATGCCCACAGAAGCATGTAGAGGTCTCCTTGAACAACTCTATGGATTTTGCTATCAGGCACCCACTACAGCTAAAGAAGTTTGCAGGAGAAGGATAGCATGGGCTTCCGTGCCAGGGGGCATACACAGCCAAAGAGGGCCAAGAGGAACTTTGCCAGGTACCAGCTGCAGTCCTGCTCCCAAACATGAACCACATGGGCAGAGAAGACCACAATTCCTGCTGCTGCCCTATTTCCAGCACCTTGTCTGACCATGAAATGCTATCAGGACTGGATATGAGCACCACAGTGAAGGTGCTACAGCTCCTGACACCATCTTTCCCATGCAGTGTCTGAACCCACACCACTGACTGGTGGCAGGATGAGTGCTTCAGGCCCTTCATGACTTCTGGGGCTACAATGCCAGAGGCCTTTCTTAGTGGCAGAGTTGGCAGCAACAGTGCCTAGGGAAATCCCCATCACCTGATAGGGCCACCATTCTTATCATAGAAGCCACAGGGTGAGGACCCCATCCACTGCTGACTGTACTGTACCCACCTAAGTGGGTAATGTCTCCACTCTTGCATAATCCACAGACAGTGGGTCTTTCTGACTCCACTGTGGAATGGGCAAAGACATTAAATTAGAGCCAAAACAGCTACAGGGAGACTGCATTATAGTAACCAGCTAGAAATAAAGCCAACACAGAATAACAAACCAAAACCTCAAAACACATCTCCAGGAGAAAGTTTTCTTCTAGGAAGTCCACACCATAAAAGTATATATATCTTCTACCAGATGTGCAAATTTCAACACAGGAGCAAGAGAAATATGAAAAAAACAAGATAACATAACACCTCTAAAAGAACATAAAAACTCTCTAGCAACAGATCCCAAAGAAATTGATATGAATATAATGCCTGATAATTTTTAAATTCTTTTAGGAATTATTATTAAAATTTCAATGAGATCCATCAGATATAGACAGTTAAATGAATTTGAGAGGCAACACAGGATACGAATGAGAAATTCAACAACAACAAAAAAGAGATAGTGAAAAATAACAAAACCACCAATATCTTGGAAATGGAGAGCTCAATACAAGGTGTGATCAAAAATACGGTTAATGTTTCAGTCTTAAAAATTTTTAAATGTATTACAGTACAAGACACTTTACCACCCACCTCCCGCAAAACACTCCTCTTCACTTACAAAGCAGTTCTGGAAGTTCTCTTTTGTGAACCTATTTTTGCGGCTGCCTCCATCTCATGAATTGAATAAAATGCTTATGGTAATTTCTGACAAATAAAAACATGACAGTCCTCATCTACCTTATTCACCTGATCTTACAATATGCATCTTCTGGCTCTTCCCTACAGTCAAAATAACTATGAGAAGTAAACATTTTGGATCACTTCAGGACACCAAGATAGCCACAACATCACAACTAAAGACACTCAAGAAAGAGGACTGCCAGAACTGCTTCAGAAAGTGGCAAGAACACTGAGATAAGTGTGTTCAAAGCAAGGGGGTATATTCTGAAAGGAATTAATGGCAATATGTCTTCAACTTCAATACTTTTTAAATTTAAACATTTACCATATTGTTTGATCATAACTCATAAATCAAATAAACAAGAGTTGAAAGCCTTAAGAACATACTAGATCTTATAAAAGAAAGAATATCTGAACTTAAAGACAGGTCCTTTAAAGTGTGCCAATCACATAAAACTGCCCCCAGCACCAAGGAGCAGAGCTGTCCCCAGCACCCAGGAGGAGCCTTCTGGCATACCATACCACCGGCCCCAGCAAGGAGGAGGTGAGCCCTACAGGCACCAGCAACACACATTCCTCCCCCAGCCCCCCAGTAAAAATGAGAACACATGTAAATAAGTTGCAAAAACAGACTCCCATACCACCTACAGCAACCCCAGAGGGAAATGAGATGGAACAATCTGATACTGAAACACCTGGACTCCCTGAACTGGCAATAAAGAGGATCTGGAAGAAATGAAATCAAAAATACTTTCTCAGATAACAGCAGAGATTATGCCCATAGTGGAAGACATGACTAATAAAAATAGAGGGGACACAGATAAAAAATAGAGGAGCTGAGGGACATGATGGAATCCCAACATACGAAACAAATGGAATCCATAAAACAAATGCAAACAGATTTCCAGGAGATGAAAAATTCCATTGAAAGTTTACGCAGCAGAATGAGCCAATGTGAGGACAGATTTCAGATATAGAAGATAAGATTGCAATTAGTGACCAGGAAAAGAAAAATATCTTCAAAATAGTAAAGGATGATGAGAAATCAATCCACCAGCT